ATCAGCAGTCTGTTCTCTGTGGGCTGATATCTTCCTGCTTTTCTTCCCTTTTTGTCAAAATGTTGTAATGATAATTGTAAATCCTTGTTCATGTTCTGCAGTATATACATTTATATATTGCCCATATGTGACTCAAATCTGACTTTTTCACAGCTGTCTGAACTTCAGATTTGTTTTCACCATCCAAAACATCTGATCTGTGCCACTTCCACATGTGGCACCAAATCGTATCCAATTGTTTTCATGTTCATTCAGGCTGTAACGATTCCTTGAAAGATTCAAGTACCTCCATTATTAAAACTTCTCCAGGCAAATTATCTGCCTCGAAGCTTTGTTAAATTATGTTTTATTATTTAGCACACCATCTTCCACTCGGATGATTATTTGTGTTGCGCAACACTCTCACTTCTCTGATTTTGCACATAGAAGCATAAAATCCAATTCTCAAGTTTGGTTCAGGGGATTTAATTGATTAATGAAAATGTCTGGGTTTTTACCATTTTTGGGGGACCAATGTGTCCTTAAATGACTGTCGCGATGTATGGAGAACCTTCTCATGGAGCTGCTGCCTGGCTGGTTCTGAGCGCGGCGGGTGTTGATGCTTAACGTAAGGCACACTGATGTTACGGCCGTTTTCACCAATATTTCATTTAATCTCATTTTTTATTTGATTACTCGATTAACCGTCAGGATAATCGATAGAATGACTAGAATAATTGTTTACAACAGCCTTAATCTCAACATTCATATTAATGGCATGAGTTCAAAAAACTTTTTTTGTATTTCTGTTTTTGTCTTTTACTAATAATCTTATTTCTCCAACTCCTTCAGGTCTTTGAATACAAGTACTTTGGCTTCTTCAGGCGGAGTCTGATGAATACCTTACAGTTCATGACCCATGTGTTTGTATTTTGGTTGCTTTCCTTTAGTATCTGGCTTTCTTGGCTTGATTTGCTAATGTTTATTAGGATAAACATTTGTTGTTGACTTTGGCCCCCCAATTTCACCAAATTCCAATCAACTCATGTTCTGTGTTAAAAACAGCAACAACAACAAAACAGATAAAACACAGAGAGATGATCCATTTTTCCTGTTTATTTGATGTTTTGGTAACACTTTATTTGAAGGGGGGTGAATAAGACTGACATGACACCATCATAAACATGACATAACACCTGTCATGAACATGAATAAGCCTTCATGAATATTTATGACTGTTGTCATAAAGTGTCACTCGGTAAATTATGACACTTTTAATACAAAGTTGACATTATTCAAAATGTCTTTGTTATGACAACTTGACATTAACCAAGAAATCATTACTGATATAAATTTGTTATAAAAGTTTTACTGATTGCACTTTAAAAATTAGGTAACTTTGTTATTAAAGGTAAAGTTTAAACAGTAATGATTTCCTGGTTAATGTCAAGTTGTCATAAAGACATTTTGAATAATGTCAACTTTGTATTAAAAGTGTCATAATTTATCGAATGACACTTTATGACAACAGTCATAAATATTCATGAAGGCTTATTCATGTTCATGACAGGTGTTATGTCATGTTAATGACAGTGTCATGACAGTCTTATTCACCCCCTTCAAATAAAGTGTTACCGATGTTTTTTCTGGTTTTGCCATTGAACATCACATTCACTACTCTGTGTTCCTCTATAAAATGGAACATGACAAAATGTGAAACAGTGCTGCGTTACTTTCTTTTAAAGCAGAGACGTTGTCCAGAAGTTTGTAATAATTATTAATAAACCATGCTTTTATTCTTAGTTTGTCAGAGTTAAATGTTGCAGAGGCAGTAAAGAGAGAGAGCTATCTACGCCCTGGAATCCAGAGGAACTAAGAATACAGAGAGAGGGAGAGATTCTCACGCTCTTGGCTTCATCAGACCTCTGGGGATCTCTCCACCGACCTGCCTACACTAACTGTTTATTATGAGACTTTTACTGAGCTGTTTGTGCTTCACATCCAGCAGTTGGCATTCCTGATGGAGAACTGTGGCTTAAGTGTTGAAACCATAATATCCTCAGCAGCCATCAATCCGTCATCTGGTAGTTGAGACGTTGTGCTGCTCTGCAGACACTTTCATAATGTTCTCACAACATCAAACATTGTGTAATGAAGATTTACCGTGTTTGGCTGCAGGGGCTGATTTAATCCGTCATTAATCTGAAGTGATTGCTTCAGATATTTGACTTCAGTCAGTTTAATCTTAATCTTACAATATTTTAACACAAGTGTCTCTTTGCTAATAAGCCACAGAAATGTCATATTTTGTCTTTTCATTATGTTTTGTTAGTGGAAATCGTTTAGATGTTAAAGAAGTTTGTAAATCATTTCACAGATTAGATGGATTTTTTCTCACAGGTCTAACTTGTAAAACAAAAAGAGCCGATGGAGCTTTATGTCAGTGAGATTAAGAAAACATTTTTATCTTGCATGAAGGCTGAACACACAGAAGGGAAATACCAACCTTTGACCTCATTATGGAAACCCACAAGGTTACAGGTTTGAAGTTGCAAAATAAAAATCAAACTAATGAACTGCTGTTGATTTTCTACTATTGGAAAATGGAGGATATAAAAATGCCAAACCTCCAGCTAATATTTGCTCCTCTCTTCCATTTTCCTTCTGCTGACAGTTTGGCTTAAAGTGTTTATTCAATCCAGCCTCATAGAAATCCAGTTCAATAAACTTTAATGCATAAATAAATAGTTAGGATGGTGAAAGAAATGAACTGCAGCATAATGTCTGATTGCATGAACATAGTTATTTGCATTAATTATGTTCATCCAATTTCTGATAATATTTTAAAGCTGTTGTTCCATTTATGTTTTCACCCCAAAACAAATAAAAACAACAAATTAATTAAACAGACATTTTATATTTCACTGTGAGCCAGATGTTGAAAACCCTCACCTACAGCATCTGGGCACCAGGGGTGGAGCTTATTCTTTGCTGTGCTGGTATAGAAGGAAATTTCATCCTGAGTTTTTTGTGAAGCTTCTTTTTCTAGTTTTTCTAATCCTGTCCATCTCTTAGAGTAACAGCAAACTGGTAAATGTTAACATGGGCTCACTTTTTCTTTCTGGAGGTATTTTTGCCTGAGTAGAAATTTAATTGGAGAGGCCAAATGGCTGCAAGTTGTTGAAAAGCTCTGCAGATTGAGAGGCTGCCAGCTGTGGTTCTGGATGGAGTGGCTGGCAGGGTGAAAGGCCCCAGTCTGGGTGAGTTTGAGCTCACTGGACAGGTTTCTGTCTCTGTTAGCTGCTTTGAGTCAGAAACTGCTAAAAGGCTCGCCACTGTTCTGTTTTTTTCATCCTATTGATTATTCATCCAAATATTCAATAGAATAACCGATTACCAAAAAAGCCTGTCAGAGTTGACACCTATTAACACAGATTAAATAACACAGGAAAGACAAGAGAGAGTTAGATTCTGAATACTCGCGAGGAGAACAGACAGAGATGTGCTTTCAGTTACAATCTCCTGCTGCTCTGAAGCACATTTGCCTGCTTTTCTCTTTTTATTGTCTTTAGGATCCCTGATCACAGAGAGCGCTGCAACTCTAAAGGGAGGGGAAAACACTTCACACAGTTACAGCACCAATGATTATCACTAACTAACAACACAATCTGTCTTAATGTGGATTATCCAGCTCCTGACCCAGGGTCAAACAGAGCAAGTTGCATATCTTCACAGCGACGGTTTTACGGCTAACAGGTCAAAAAGCAGGGCGTTCTGTAAAGAGCTGCTGTCACTGCTCTTCTTCAGAGAGGCCCTCTGAGGAAGGAAATCAGTGATTAACAATACAGAAACATTTCTTAAAAGATATAACTAAACAAATAAGTATGTAGCTATTAAGTTTGTAACACAAACAAAATGGACAATTTTGTTTTTATTAGATTTTTCTTGTTTATTTTTCTGGAGCATTGAAGGTATGGACTGGAAAATGATACAAACTAACCTGCAGAATGAAATCTTGTCTAGTAAACGGCACAAAAAAAAGACTTTTCTAGACATGATTTTGTGTGTTGATGTCCAATTAAGATAACACCAGACTAGGGATGCACCAATCCACTTTTTCCACTTCCGATACCGATACAGATATCTGAGGGTAGGTATTGGCTGACACTGATTCTATGCAGGAAAATGCTGCTGAGTTGACCTAAAATGTTTCTTTTTTTTAAGCACAGATATAAGTGTACTAAACTATAAATTGATTTGATAACGCTGCACCAGTACAGTTTAAATACACCAACAGATGGAACATGTAAAAACACAACTTTAATTTGTTCAGTCAGTGCAATTATGAGCATAATAGCCAATGTAAAATAGATAATAAAGCATGATGCCATTCAGAGCACAAAGCATAGAATTAGTCTGAATAGATTTTCCCTTATAGATCTAGTAACCAATCTAGAGTTTCTTTCAATATTTGTACTAATACAGATATTGATATCAGATCTATCCTTCAGTCATACAAACTTCAAATGGCTGCAACTCATCCATGATTCAACACACAGACATCAATACAAATCTAAAACAGCTAAGAGAGTAAATATGTTTCACAGAGCTGAAATAACCTCAGTGGGAGGCTTTTATTTTGTGTTGCCGTAGCGCAGCGCTAGCGCTGCTGCCTCGTAGGAAAACATGCTGCGTTTAGTCATTTTGACTCCATCAGGGAGTTTTGGGAAAGTCACAGTGTGTCACCAGCTTTTAAGATATTTTAATGTGAGGAAATTTTACCAAATCTCTGCGGTTTATCTCCCAGCAGTGTTTCTGTTTCATGCAGCAGTTTTTATCGTGATGCCGCCCTCATGTTTTACAAGCTGGGACTCTGTTTTCATTTCTCTAAGCATTGTTCAGCAGCCAGCCTTTTAGCGGTGGCAGCCATCAGCTTTCACTGCACTTTTTCGCTTACAGCAAAAGTTGATTTAAGATCAAGAGTTGCTCTCACTCCCAGTCTTTCTTCCTGTGCTTGACAGACTGTCAAAGTCTCGCCGCCGGGCCTGATCCCGATCCCGCTGGTTGCTGACCACATCTGTGCCGGTAAGCAGTGATTTCATGTTCCTCTCTGCGTTGCTGTTAGTTCTAGCTTTGAGTTGGCTCAGGCCTTCACCATGTCAACCCAAAGACAACACTGGGCTGTTTGCTAAATAAATCTCAGCTGAAAACAAGCAAACAAACAGATGTGTACATGATTGTTTTTCAAGTAGGAAATGAAGTGGAAAAGTTATTTAAGCTAAAAAGTATTTAACTAACCATAATGTCCTTTGAGGGGATCGTTGAAGCTCCCAGTTTGATTGTTGGTATTGTAGCAGAAAAGGCAATAGATGTTCCAGGAAATGGGAACCGATCCCACATTGTTCCAGGTTGAGTTGGACTCATTTCCTGCCCATCTAACTGTGAGCAGGAACACACTCCTAGCACACACACACACACACACACACACACACACACACACACACACATTTTCTTACTCATATAACTATTAAGCACATTTTGCTACCCAATTATTAATTGGCTAATTAAAAACATAATCACCAGATCAGCTCTTATGTCGATAAGTCAACTGAAAGGCCTGAGTTTTTCACATGCTGATGTTTTAATGTTTTAGCTCCAGATTCATCCTTTGTCACAAATGATTAAACATTCACTAAATGAATGCTGTTATTGCATTTTAGGCAATAACATGCTTATTTTTCTAGTTAAAGAAGGAATTTAATTTTCTGTTTATTTGCATTTTCTTAGTATATTTCCATTGCATAAGATAATTGTAAGTGCTTAAATTAAAATCAGCACAATGTTTATTAAATCCAATTAAACAATTAATTATCCTAATAATCTATTACTAAAAATAATTGTTAGTTACAGCCCTATTTTATCTGTATTTTACTACTTTTCTAATATTGTCTAAAATAAGCTTAAGTTGTTAAATAGAAAAATCTGCAAAATGTGGCATTTATTTTATTTGAATATCAGAATAGTCAATATAATAATTGATCACTAACACAGTGGTTAGTTGCAGGGCTAGTTTATTTGTATATTTTATGTATTTCTAATTTGTATAAAAAGATTTAAGTGTTTAAATGAAAAATCTGTAGAATGTTAAACTTTTCATTACTGTATTTTTTTTTATTAATCATCAGAATAATCGATACTAAAATAATCATTAGCCTTAGTTATAACTGTTATAACCAGCAAACTTTCCAATGTAATCCAGGGGCATGCAGGCAGTTTTCTTGCTTTTTTAAAAAATATCTTCCATTTTTGGTTATTTATCTTTTAGACAGATTTTAAAAAAAACAACAACACAGAAACTTGATAATCTGCAGATGTGAGAGATGAGAAATGAGCTTCTCCTCTATGATAAGAAGAAATGTGACTGAAAGTTTCTCTGGGTAAAATCAGGAAGTGCTCTGGTTTCGGACGGTCTAATTTCAAACGGTGAGGTTAAGGCTGGTCCTCTGGTGTCTAAGTGCTGTTCAGGACGAAGCCCCTCAGGGTTCCTCTGCTCAGAGTTGAAAGTCCAGCTCAGCATCTTCAGGTCCAGCTGCTCAGGGATGCTGCCGGGTTGTGAAGCCTGGCAGTGACCTATGACACCAGCGCTGACTTTAGTTGCAGAACTTTACTGCATATGTTTTGGGTTCGGGTTCAACTTTCTAAAACAGGAGGGATTTGTTTGCGTTTAATGAGGAGGAAGCAAATTAATGTCTCTTCCTTGAAACTGTCTCAGTATTACAAATGAAGCATTCAGTGTAAAAGTTCCACTGCTCACCTCTGAAGACATCTTCATCCACATCACAGAGACGTCTTTATGGCCGACTGCTGATCTTATTCCCAATAAAACCCTGCAGGTGTTTCACTCCTGTGCTGGTGACATCATTAACTCAGAGCAATAAAGGAGGAACTCCTCAGAGACTAGTTACTCTGAACGGACCTTTTCTGAGGGGAGAGGAGGGAATTAATAGTCCAAAGTTGCTCCGATAAATCCTTCTGCGAGAGATTCAAGTCTTTGCCTCGGGGGAGACTTTTTGTCATGCTTATTGACTTTGCTTTTTTATATTCTGCTCACCCTTTATTCCTCCTTAGAGTCCAACAAGGATAAAAATTAATGGCCAAGTTTTACATTCATGTTGAATAATTTTATTCTGCTCCCTTTCTCTCCTTAAATAAAACGTGCAACTAAATCCACAGACAGTCTGTAGCCATTCTGGGCTTTACTCAAACTGAAAATTAAAAAATTAACCCAAATCTTGATTGGTGGATCTTTGATATGTGTGTATTTATTACGGATGTTGTGTGAATGATGCCGCGCTGCTCTGTAGGTTTTCTGGGTGAAACCAGGAAGTGATGATGCTGATTAAATATTGATTCCAGCCTGGTTGGCTAAAGGCTGACATTTAGGTGGTATTTAATGTCACCAGAAAACATTGGATCAGTGACATTCCGAATATTTCTATAATTTAGAGACACTCGTTTCACTCAACATGCGACAACTGATCCAATCATTTTTCTATAATGGAAACCAGTATGTGATAGGAAGAGACTGGTAGGAGGTCCAGTCAATAATAAGCTGCTCTGTATCATAACCCACCCCAGTAAAATTAAAGGCCTGAGTCCGGCTGCACAGAACATCCTCCTAGCAAGCATTTCATAAGGTGCAGTGGAACTTCACTATTTATATTTCAGTATTCATAGATTTTTTTATTTTTTTTTTTGGAGCATAACTCATTTGCTGAAAACATCCTGATTCATGGATTTTTTTAGTAGATTATATCTAAAATATCCTAAGGAATGCAGTTTGGGAAGCTGAAACTCCTTGATGTTATTGGCTGTGGTTGGCATAGCAACCACTGCAATGACCCACTGCTTACAGCAACTAGTTGGGGAGGGGAGGAATACTCACTAATGTAAGAAACCCTTTTTTTGCATCAATGTGCATCATAGTCCTTATCATGTATTGCTAGTGACACACAGTATATAAGGCACAGTATATGACAGGCTTACTCATTAGTAATTGTTGTGTTAAATTCTGATTTCCATTTTTCTCCATGTTGGACTTTAAATAATCTGGAACCTGCAATTTGCTGAAGTGTGACTGATTAGTGCCTTAAACTGTTTATTGGATCTTTTCCCTTAAAAACATTGAGGAGTCTTTATTTACATTCAGACTTAAAAAAATGATCTAAAAATATATCCCTCACTGGGGTTTCAGGTTTAAACCAAAATATTTAAACAAAATCAAAACAATCCCACAGAAAATAAAAGTCAGAATTTGGCTGTGTGACTTTTAGTGAATATAGTTTTCAGTTGTTCTGGTGTCACCAGTACTAATAAAACCTGGTTTCCTGGATGTTCGCTGCACTAATTCATTCTTCCCAACACTAGATGGAGCCACTTGCACTGCATGTGCCACTGGGCTGTAGCTGCTTAAGAAGAGGCGCTCTGCCCTTTTTTCTGCTGTTTTGAATAAATTTGCATGAATGACTCACTAAGCTCCTCTCAAACAGAAACGCCTGAGAGTTTTCCAGGCAGCCATAATGTTGACTGTCCTTCCAGCTGAACTGCGTCGCTCACTCCCTGTTTTAATAAACATTCAGTTGACCATGATTTGGATTTTGTAAATACGTTTCTATTTAATGAGGTTTCCACTGAGCGGGTTGTTCTGTAGAAGGGAAGCAGGATGACTAAAAGTCTCGGTGTTTATTACTTTCAGGCGTTTCTTTAAAACCTGCAGTTTCTGCATATTCTGGAAGGAGATGTGTCATCATTTTTTTAGTATTTGTAGTTTGGCTCCAAATGTTTCAGACAGAGCAGTCAGAGTGAGAGCAGGAGGAAGGAGGATGAGGGACGGACAGGCTGAAGGTGAGGGGAAAGGACGATGTTTTTCACAGACCCTGTTATGTTTCTGTCTGAAAAACATCAAGTGTTTCCTTCGCTGCTCCTCACATCGTGACTCCCTGGCCTCAGCGCTTCATCGCTGTGTCAGCAGACCGCAACACAACCCTGACTCTTAGCAGGGTCAGACAGGTGTAAACAGGAGTGTGGCCTCCAATGAAACCTGTAAGGAGAGGTGCTGAAGGTTGACATGTTCCACAAAAAGCCCAGATTGGATGTGTTTTGTTTTTTCAATTAGGATAAAATCTCCTGCAAAGTCTTCATCTCCCAGGTTTTGTAACAGACTCATACCTTTAGTATTAAATTGCCTCTATTTGCTCTCTGCTTTCTCTCCTCTGCTGTTTTTATTGTGGTACAAATAACCTTCACAGGGAGATTGATGATCTAAAAGTTTAATAATAGGATGATCTGATGCACTGAAGATATTTAAGCTGAGCTCACTTTCTCAGCAGTTTAATATCCCTGGGTTTGTGATGATAAATATGGGAACTATAATGGAAAAATGGGGATTTTGACTGAATTTATTATTTCATTTGACCTGCAGAGTGGGTCCTGATCTGAGCGCAGCTGAGTGGCCCGTGATGCAAAATCAAGCTGTGCTTTATTACAACCTGTCGACTTAATTTAATGCTGCATCCTGAGGCTTCGGTGTTGAATGAGTCTTGATTTCATTTTAAATGTTAAACTTTAGATTAGATTTTAAACTTCTATCAGACTTGAAAATTGTTTAAAAAATGAAGTGGCTTCAGGTTTAAATAGTCCCTGCTGCACATTTATTCCTCCTTAAAACCGGCTGTGGTGGTTGTGGTCTCTGCTGAGGCTCCAGAGTCGCAGCTGGCGGCCATTTGAGTTTAGAGAGCAGAGGTCCTAATGACGCCTGCTGGCATTTCTCTGCACTTCTCTGTCTCTTTCCCTCCTTTGCATGCTGTCTGTCACTGGTCCACCAGGGCAACGGGCTCACAGTTAACCTACTGATATAAAATATTTATGAAAACTCCCTACAGACCTCTAATACTCATGAGACATAATGTTGATGCAAATTATTCACAGAAACTCTCAAAATGTTTTAGTGTGAATTCCCGACAGAAATTTGGTCTGCTTGTTTAATTTGGACCAAAACCAGATTTTTTTGCTTGGTGCAGTTTGCT